CCTCGTATTATCATCAAGAGAGACATCAAACATTTTGTGGAGCAGGGTTTTGTTCATGATCTGTTTGGCTTTGATTGGGGGGAAATCGATCTGTGTGCTGATGTAGAAACTGCATGGTCTTATTTTTATCTTGGTTTTATGGAGATCATTGATAGACATTCATCCATCTTCTCCCGCTTATCCGTGGTCGGGTCGCGGGGTAGCAGTTCCAGCAGAGAGCCCCAAACTTTCTTTTTCCTGGCGACATCAACCAGCTCTGACTGGGGGATCCCAAGGCGCTCCCAGGCCAGCGAAGAGATATAATCCCTGGCATCCTACTGGCATCAACTGGCTCCTTTCGACGCGAAGGAGGAGCGGTTCAACTCCGAGTCCCTCCCGGATGACCGAACTTCTCACCTTATCCCTAAGGGAGACACCAGCCACCCTGCGGAGAAAACCCATCTCGGCCGCTTGTATCCGCGATCTCGTTCTTTCGGTCATGACCCATCCTTCATGACCATAGGTGAAGGTAACGAAAATGTCTCGGTAGACAGAGAGCTTTGCCTTCTGGCTCAGCTCCCTTTTCGTCACAACGGTGCGGTAAAGCGACTGCAGTACCGCTCCCGCTGCTCCGATTCTCCGGCCCATCTCACGCTCCATTGTTCCCTCACTCGAGAACAAGACCCCGAGATACTTGTACTCCTTCACTTGGGGTAAGGACTCATTACATTGCATTTAGCTGACGCTTTTATCCAAAGTGACTTACAATAAGTACATTCGACCAGGAAGACACAACCTTGAAAAAAACAGAATCATAAAGTACATCAGGTTTCATAGAGCCAAAAATGTCAAGTGCTACTCAACTGGCTTTAGGTAAGCCAGTCCTTTATTAGTATATAAGTGCTTTGTTAATAATTCTATCGCTCGAAGTGGAGTTGAGCGATAGAATTATTATGATTCCCTACTTGGAGTGGACAGTCCATCGGTTTCCTGCTGAGAACCATGGCCTCAGATTTGGAGATGCTGATCCTCATCCCAGCCGCTTCACACTCGGTTGCGAACCGATCCAGTGAGTGCTGAAGGTCGCAGACCGATGAAGCCATTAGAACCACATCATCTGCAAAAAGCAGTGGTGCAATCCTCAGTCCACCGAACTGCAGACCCCCTCCCCCATGACTACGCCTCGAAATCCGATCCATGTATATTACAAACAGGATTGGTGACAAAGCGCAGCCCTGGCAGAGGCCAACCCTCACCGGAAATGGGTCCGACTTACTGCCGAGGACCCGGACACAGCTCTCGCTTTGGGAGTACAGAGATTGGATGGCCCTGAGTAGAGACCCCCTCACCCCATACTCCCGCAGCACCTCCCACAGTAACTCCCTGGGAACTCGGTCATACGCCTTCTCCAAGTCTACAAAACACATGTAGACCGGATAAGCGTACTCCCAGGCCCCCTCCAGGATCCTTGCGAGAGTAAAAAGCTGATCCGTCGTTCCACGACCAGGACGGAATCCGCATTGTTCCTCCTCAATCTGAGGTTCGACAATAGACCTTGTTAGAAATGAAAATCAATGTTTTATGGCATAATTTAGTTTAAACATACCGTCAGCTTAAATGCTGTTTTATTCTGAAAAACCAGAAGTTCTCGCAAAATCTTAATGCCAAGCTTTTATTCTGAAAATCCTTCATCTCCGGTTAGCATTTAGCATGTGGCTAATATTCCTTTTCCTACAGAGGTGAATATAGAAGCCAAATGACACGGAGTGTTGCACACCGAAACCTACTGATTTCAACACTACATCTATAGACGTTGAGATATTATTATTGCTGAATATTAAATGAAGGATTATTTTAATACGTTTTGTTTACAGACGTGGGTAGCATATGACAACATCCGGGACTACCGTAAATGATAACTGCCGTGAAGTATTTCCAGTATTATTAAAGTCATGAATTACAGCCGTTAAAATGCAATAAATGAAAAGTCATGAAAGAGAATATGAGGAGAAAATGCGTGTTTAGTTATGTATTGAATGTACAATGGCTGAGTCCTCTGTTATGCGCAACAACGGACATTGAAGACATGTGGAGGGCGGACCCCCAGCAGCGCCGGCGGGCACAAGGGGAGGGGCCATCGGAGGATACTTAAGGAGCTGCGTGTTTGGGGTCTTTCTCTTTGGCTCTCGAGGTCCCAAGAACATAGCTGTTTTCTCTCTGAACCATATCTCTGCTTTAACATTACCGCGCCATTTTAATTAAAATACCCATTTGAACCTTATGCAAGAGACTCCATTGGTCTCATTTATCCTAAGCTTCTCTCCTGGACGCGAGAATAACGAACAAAGCTAATAACATAGACCCCTGCGTACATTTAGAGTGAAGGGACGAGACAATCCTTGGTTTTCTGCTAATCTGTCCAGTCTCCTACATGAGAGAAACAAGGCCTGGGCAAAGGCTAGGCAATCAGGCTCAGAGGTAGAGTGGCTGCGTTTTAGGCAGCTAAGAAATAGCTTCACTTCAAATGTCAAAAGTGCGAAGTCGAAGTACTATTTGTCAGTAACCACAGAGAACCTGAATAATCCTAGGAAATTTTGGAAAGCCATTAAATCGTTATCCACCGGTGATATCCGTAATGAGCTACCTCCGTGCCTTACCACAGCATCTGGCTCTATATCGGACAGGGCTACCATGTTAAATGGCTTTAATGAGCATTTTGTGTCTTGCGGTTCTCTGTTTCATTCTGTCACTAACTCTGCTGCTGTGAACACTACAGTCGGTGACTCAGAACAATGTGGTCTGGAAAACCCTTTCAGTTTTACTCCTTTTACTGTTGATGTTGTTCGTGAAGCTTTAACCAAGTTAGATCCTAAGAAACCGGCTGGCCCGGACAACGTAGAACCTTTCTTTTTAAAGATAGCTACAGATTGTATTGCTCCACCTCTCACTTCTCTTTTTAACTTCTCCCTCAGCACTAACAAAATCCCAAAAGTATGGAAGTCAGCGTATGTCCTGCCTTTGCTAAAAGGAGGGGAGGCCACCTTATTAAATAACTATAGGCCAATCTCTAAGTTGTCAGTTGTGGCGAAGGTTCTTGAACGCTTAGTGAGTGAACAGGTAAAGGTGTTTTTATGTAACAATGACATCCTGTCTAAACATCAGTCAGGCTTCAGAAAGCAACACAGCACCATCACTGCCACAATGAAAGTGGTGAATGACATTACGAGTATTTTGGATAATAAGCAGAGTTGTGCAGCTCTATTTGTTGACCTGTCCAAAGCGTTTGATACCGTCGATCATCACATCTTAAAGCAGAGGCTACTCAGTATCGGCATGTCCAGCCATGCAGTGGGTGGTTTGTGAACTACCTCTCTGAAAGGTCCCAATGTGTTCACTTTGATGGGCTGTCTTCTGAGTGGTTAAACATTGCTAATGGTGTTCCTCAAGGTTCTGTTTCAGGTCCACTTTTATTCTCCATATCAACAGTTGAAAATGTGGATGAAGCTACTTTACATTTATATGCAGATGATACCGTGATGTTCTGTGCAGGTCCCTCCATTCAGGAGGCTGCTGTTAAATTACAGGCTGTTTTTAACATTATTCAGACTCAGCTCTCTGAACTAAAGCTTCTTTTAAATGTTGAGAAAACCAAGGTAATGCTCTTTTCTAAAGCTAAAAAGATACCAGAGCCTGTTGTAGATATTGTTACTATGCAAGGACAAGTACTTGAAGTGGTTACCAGTTATAAATACCTGGGTATCTGGCTTGATGACTGTCTCTCTTTTAAACTTCATGTCAATAACCTGCTTAAAAAGCTGAGGGTTAGGCTAGGTTTCTTCTACAGGAACAAGTCCTGCTTCTCGCTTGAGGCCAGGAAAAGGCTCTGTGACCTTTTGACCTGTGCTGGACTCTGGTGATCTGATGTATATGAATGCACCTGCTGCCCATTGCCTGGTCAAGTTAGATGCTGCGTATCACAGCGCACTGAGATGTGTGACAAACTGTAAAGCATTAACCCATCACTGTACCCTGTATGCAAGGGCTGGTTTGCTTTCACTAACTGTACGGAGGCTCAGTCACTGGTACATTTTTATATACAAAGCCATGTTAGGGAAACTTCCATCTTATATCTGCTCCCTGGTCTCAGGGAGAATTGTAAGTGGCTACTGCCTGAGATCGCATGCTGTGGTTTTATTAAATGTGCCAACTGCTAGGACTGTCTTAGGAAAGACAGCTTTTAGATGCGCAGCTCCTCTGTCTTGGAATAGTCTGCAAATTAAATGGAAACTGAACAATCTGGTGACACTAAATGTTTTAAAGCTCGGTTGGATGCTACTCAATCGGAAGCTGTTGGTACCTGTTTATGTGGATCATTGTGTAAATGATGCTGTTTGATGTCCTTTTGTTGTTCTATTTATGTTTTTATGTTTCATGTGGAACTACTTGAGCAGGTCTCCCTTGAAAAAAGAGATCAATGATCTCAATGGGATTATCTGTATAAATAAAGGTTTGAAATGAAATGAACACTCCATCAGGTTCTCCAGCTGCAGGCAGAACCCTCAGTGAGTCACGCTGAGTCAGCGTGTTTACTGTCTGTCTGTCTGTCTGTCTGTGTGTGTGTGTGTGTGTGTGTGTGTGTGTGTGTGTGTGTGTGTGTGTGTGTGTGTGTGTGTGTGTGTGTGTGTGTGTGTGTGTGTGTGTGGTGTGTGTGTGTGTGTGTGTGTGTGTGTGTGTGTGTGTGTGTGTGTGTGTGTGTGTGTGTGTGTGTGTGGGTGTGTGTTTTTACAAGTACAAGTAGAGAAGTCAAAGAGTTTCTTTCTTAATTGCTTTAATCTGATTAAATTAAAACATTGAGACAGTCAAACATCATTTAATCCATAAAGATTATTTTGAAATACAAAAAATAAATATGTAGAAAGTGTATCAAAAGTGTTTATTTTAAATATTGAAATAAATATTGAAATAAATAGATCAAGTAATAAATGAGGTAGGCGGGGACTCATCCCGAGGTGGGAGGGGTCTCATCCTGAGGTGGGCGGGGTCTTTGTCCCCCAGGTGAAGCAGTTGTGGTGCTGATGCAGGGCGGACTTTAGGACCCAGAGCAGATCCCTCCGCAGAGCCTCCCAACCACAGACTGCGCTGCCCTGCACAGGAAATACATAAAACATAAATATACACATATATTTATATGTATACATATATTTATGTATATACATATATAAATATATATATGTATATTGATATGGATAATGAAGGGTTTACCTGCTGCTCCAGAACTGCCGTCACGTTACTGAAGTAAGAAGATAAAACGACTGAACCATCGACACCTGACAACTGCAGATAGACAGACAGGTCAGAGAGACAGACAGGTCAGAGACAGACAGGTCAGAAGGACAGGCAGACAGAGACAGACAGAGGGACAGGCAGACAGAGACAGACAGGTCAGAGAGAGACAGGTCAGAGACAGACAGGTACAGACGGAAAGGTACAGAGGGACAGGCAGACAGAGACAGACAGGTACAGACGGAAAGGTACAGAGAGACAGACGGACAGACAGACAGGCAGAGAGACAGGCACAGACAGACAGAGGGACAGGCTGACAGAGACAGACAGGTCAGAGAGACAGACAGAGGGACAGGTAGATAGAGACAGACAGGTCAGAGAGACAGACAGGTCAGAGACAGACAGGTACAGACAGATAGAGGGACAGGCAGACAGAGACAGACAGGTACAGACGGAAAGGTACAGACAGACAGGTACTCACACACTGCCCCTCCTCCATCAGTCTGAACTGCAGGTGTCTGAATCTCTGTAGCTTCTCGTCCCTCCAGGTGAGTCCTGCAGGTAAATCCTCCTCGAATACAAGCCCCGCCTCCTGCAGAGACTCATAAACCACCCACAATGCTTTGCGGCACTGCAGGTAACCAATCAGAGGTCAGTCATCTGTAACAAACTATTTGGACATGAGAGCAGCTCTGTGATTGGCCGAGAGTGTTACCTGAAGAGGATTTGCTGAGGCAGCAGCTGGGAGGGCGGAGCTTGGGAAGGAGATGTTGATGTTGACCGGCAAACAGGAAACAGGAAACGACCCCCCCTGCAGGAAGACACTTTATCAACAACTCGTGCTAAGCTAACCACTTAGTACTAGCTGCGCAGAACTTTAAAAAGTAATGTAAATAAAGTGTTTACTTAAATAATAAAGTATCAGTCAATGTGGGGTCGCCGGTTCAAGTCCCAGACCAGACCTAAATATGGAGAGTGGACTGCCACTCGGAGAGGTCCCAGTTCACCTCCTGCCCTGCCGTGGTGCCCTTGAGCAAGGCACCAGACACCTCTAGACTCCTGGTACTAGACTCCTGGTACTAGACTCCTGGTTCTATACTCCTGGTACTAGACTCCTAGTACTAGACTCCTGGTACTAGACTCCTGGTACTAGACTCCTAGTACTAGACTCCTGGTACTAGACTCCTGGTTATATACTCCTGGTACTAGACTCCTGGTACTAGACTCCTGGTACTAGACTCCTGGTTCTATACTCCTGGTTCTAGACTCCTGGTGCTAGACTCCCGGTACTAGACTCCTGGTTCTAGACTCCTGGTACTAGACTCCTGGTTCTATACTCCTGGTTCTAGACCCCTGGTACTAGACTCCTGGTTCTAGACTCCTGGTACTAGACTCCTGGTACTAGACTCCCGGTACTAGACTCCTGGTACTAGACTCATGGTTCTAGACTCCTGGTTCTAGACTCCTAGTTCTAGACTCCTGGTACTAGACTCCCGGTACTAGACTCATGGTTCTAGACTCCTGGTTCTAGACTCCTAGTTCTAGACTCCTGGTCCTAGACTCCTGGTACTAGACTCCTGGTACTAGACTCCTGGTACTAGACTCCTGGTTCTAGAATCCTAGTTCTAGACTCCTGGTACTAGGATGGGTTAGAGCAGAGAACCCATGTCACTGTGTGCTGTGTGTTCTGCATGTGAGACCATTAAAGAGGGTTTCATCCTCCTATTCTATTCTATATATATAATGTAATAATAATAATAATAATAATCACCAGGTCTCTCAGCATGTGATGAGCTGATTGGACTACATGACCATTCAGCAGACAGGTCGGTATGGCAACCGCTGTCATCAGCTGACTGCAGACCTGCAGGAGGATGAGCAGCAGGGAGACCAGCATCATGGTTCTGATGGTTCTGATGATCCTGATAGTTCTGATGTTCCTGATGGTTCTGATGTTCCTGATGTTCCTGATGGTTCTGATGATCCTGATGGTTCTGATGGTTCTGATGTTCCTGATGGTTCTGATAGTTCTGGTGGTTCTGGAATAGACAGCAGTTATAGTTTTAAGGTGTTTTCAGTGAACCTGTGGATAATTTCTGGTTCTGGTTCAGGTGTGCCGTGAGCCTGCAGCTCCAGGTGAGTTCAGATCATCTAGGACACAGAGAGCAGTTGATTGGCTGGCTGAACAGCCAACCAGAGGCCCTGTACCTGATTGAGTCATACATCCTGAAGAGAAACCACCCCCCCTCCTCCCGCCTCAGGTGAGATACAGGTGCCTGCAGGTCCATGACTCTCTAATGAGACGATAATAGATTCTGACTCAGTTTATCATTAATACTGTTATTATTAAAATCACGAGTACATGAGTAAGACATACAATCAGTTTATATTATTATTATACTCTGTACTACAGTCAGAGTACATGAGTAACACATACAATCAGTTTATATTATTAGTATACTCTGTACTACAGTCAGAGTACATGAGTAACACATACAATCAGTTTATATTATTAGTATACTCTGTACTACAGTCAGAGTACATGAGTAACACATACACTCAGTTTATATTGTTATGATACTCTGTACTCATGTACTACAGTCAGAGTACATGAGTAACACATACACTCAGTTTATATGGTTATGATACTCTGTACTCATGTACTACAGCCAGAGTACTAATAATAATAGGAAAACACCAGTGGCCCAGCGCAGCCCTGAGGAACGCCATGTTAGATATTTTCGGGTAAGTTTCGTGTTTTTTGACTGTAGATTTGAGGTTCGTTGCCATAGATGTTTAAATATCTGTTGTATATAAGTTGCTTTCTGCTGAGTCAGCGTGCTCAGCAGGTTTCCTCTGGGTTTCATTTCACAGGAAACAGGATTACTGCAAGATTAATAAATATAAACAGTTTCCCCTGAGAGTGAGTCACTCTGAAACGTTGACTCGTCTTTCCATCTGCGACGCGGCGCTCTGACCGCCGAGTCGCCTGGAAACCTGCCGTCGTTACGATCAACGAGACGAGGGGGAAATTAGACGGAAAGCATCCGAGGAAAACTTTGAAATGTTCGCTACGTAAGTACCAAGATTTATATCTGAGGAAAAACTCTGAGTACCTTAAAGTACTACCAGCGTTGGAACAAGTATTCAGATCCTGTACTTCAGTGAAAGTAGTAATACACTGTCTTAAAGTACTCCATAACAAGTCATATCCTGATTCCTAGCATCAACATGTACTTTAAGTACACAATATTTAAACACTGTGAGTCTTTGCAGGTCTCACAAAAACCTCCATCAGACAGAGGTCTGAGTCTCACTGAGGAACTAGATAAGGTCTGAGGTCTTCTTCCTGTCAGGCAGAGACTCCGCATACTGGTTTAGTACTACTTCCTGTTCTCGATGAGTTCTACTGGTTTGTTCTCGATGAGTTCTACTGGTTTGTTCTCTATGAGTTCCATGGTTTGTTCTCTATGAGTTCTACTGGTTTGTTCTCTATGAGTTCCACTGGTTTATTCTCTATGAGTTCTACTGGTTTGTTCTCGATGAGTTCTACTGGTTTGTTCTCTATGAGTTCTACTGGTTTGTTCTCTATGAGTTCCATGGTTTGTTCTCTATGAGTTCTACTGGTTTGTTCTCTATGAGTTCTACTGGTTTGTTCTCGATGAGTTCTACTGGTTTGTTCTCTATGAGTTCTACTGGTTTGTTCTCTATGAGTTCCATGGTTTGTTCTCTATGAGTTCTACTGGTTTGTTCTCTATGAGTTCTACTGGTTTGTTCTCTATGAGTTCTACTGGTTTGTTCTCTATGAGTTCTACTGGTTTGTTCTCTATGAGTTCTACTGGTTTATTCTCTATGAGTTCTACTGGTTTGTTCTCTATGAGTTCTACTGGTTTGTTCTCTATGAGTTCCATGGTTTGTTCTCTATGAGTTCTACTGGTTTGTTCTCTATGAGTTCTACTGGTTTGTTCTCTATGAGTTCTACTGGTTTGTATCTGTAAAGAGTGGATCACACCAGTCCTGTTCTGAAATCATTACACTGGCTTCCAGTCGGCGAAATAATTGATTTTAAAGTTCTACAGCTAGTTTTTAAATCACTAAATGGTTTGGGACCAAAGTATATCAACGATCTCCTGCAGAACTATGAAGCACCATGGAGTCTCAGGTCCTCTGGGTCGGGTCGGCTCTCGGTTCCGAGAGGAAGAACAAAACATGGAAAAGCAGCGTTTAGCTATTATGCCCAACCATCTGGAACAAACTGAATCCAGCACGTCCGCAGAAACTCTTCCTGTTTTCAGATCCAGACTGAAAACATCTCTTTTTGCCGCTGCTTTAATTGATCTGCTCATACTCACACTGCAGTTTGTATTGTATAACTATATTGCATTCATGTATAACTGTATATTATATATATATTATATATATTACTGTATATTCATGTATAACTGTTTATCTCATTCTCTTTGCCTTTTAACGCCTGTTGTAAAACGCCATTATAAAATGTGTTTTACTGTATTTATTCTTAAATGTCTTTTATTTTGTAAAGCACTTTGAATTGTCGCATCCGGAAAGGTGCTGTCTAAATCACACACATATATTAGAGAGTACTCTGTGTATTTATATATATAGTTGCTTTTCACTACTTAATTTGTACTTGATTCTAAAGGTATAAAGTATAGTGAGCGTGGGAGTGGTATATTTGATATAGAGTATTACTGCTCACGCTTTAATGTAGAGAGTTAGTGAGGACATTTTAACATTATAGATAATATTCAATGTGTTTTAAACATCAGTTAAATAACCTCTAGCGGTTTGTAATCCGACACGGAGAATAATATCTTCACATTCATATTAATATGAATATCATTATTATTACTAGCCGTTTCTTACTCTCACAGCAGATCTGTGGTTTCTAACCCTAACCCTGCAACGGTTATTATTCAGAACCGACTCACCTTCTGGTTCTGAAGGATCTGGTTCTGAAGGATCTGGTTCTGAAGGATCTGGTCCTGAAGGATCTGGTCCTGAAGGATCTGTTCCTGAAGTATCTGGTTCTGAAGGATCTGTTCTGGTTGTGGTCCTGAAGGATCTGGTCCTGAAGGATCTGGTCCTGAAGGCTCTGGTTCTGAAGGATCTGTTCTGGTTGTGGTCCTGAAGGATCTGTTCTGGTTGTGGTCCTGAAGGATCTGGTCTGGTTGTGGTCCTGAAGGATCTGGTCTGGTTGTGGTCCTGAAGGATCTGGTCTGGTTTAAATAACGCTCCATCTGGACAGAAACTGAAACTCTGAGGTCATCAAACAAAATCAAAAGTTCTGAAAAAGTCGGAAATTACTTTTCACCTCCTGTGTGACTCCTCACCCTCCTCACCCGCCTCACCCTCCTCACCCTCCTCCCACCTGCTGTGACCCCCCAGGTACCCATGCCATAGAACCAGTCAGTTAGAAGTGAAACTGTGGACAGAAGTCTGACCCTCTGTTCCTCAGTCCCTCAGTCCCCCCTCAGTTCCTCAGTCCCTCAGTCCCCCTCAGTTCCTCAGTCCCTCAGTCCCCCTCAATCCCTCTCAGTCCCTCAGTCCCACTCAGTCCCTAAGTACCTCAGTCTCTCAGTCCCCCTCAGTCCCTCAGTCCCCCTCAGTCCCCTCAGTCCCTCAGTCCCTCAGTCCCCCTCAATCCCTCTCAGTCCCTCAGTCCCCCTCAATCCCTCTCAGTCCCTCAGTCCCCCTCAATCCCTCTCAGTCCCTCAGTCCCCCTCAGTCCCTCACTTCCCCTCAATCCCTCTCAGTCCCTCAGTCCCCCTCAGTCCGTCAGTCCCTCAGTCCCCCTCAATCCCTCTCAGTCCGTCAGTCCCCTCAGTCCCTCAGTCCCTCAGTCCCTCAGTCCCTCAGTCCCCCTCAGTCCCTCAGTCCCCCTCAGAATCAGAATATTCATTAATACATACAATAGTGTCTCTGATATTCATATGTTATTAATGTGTGTGTGTGTGTGTGTGTGTGTGTGTGTGTGTGTGTGTGTTCAGGGTTTCAGTGTGAGTGTGTGTCTTCAGGAAGCGCCCCCCCCCCCCCGTTTCAGCGAGTTATTGTGAAAAGATGAAGGAAACCAGAAACCACGCGATCGGTTTCAGCTTCAAGAAAATCAGAGACAGGAAGCGTCTCTTTACTCACTATTACTACCAGAGACACTGAGTGTCCTCCAGAGACTCTGTGTGTCCTCTAGAGACACTGAGTGTCCTCCAGAGACACTGTGTGTCCTCCAGAGACTCTGTGTGTCCTCCAGAGACACTGAGTGTCCTCCAGAGACACTGTGTGTCCTCCAGAGACACTGAGTGTCCTCCAGAGACACTGAGTGTCCTCCAGAGACACTGTGTGTCCTCCAGAGACTCTGTGTGTCCTCCAGAGACACTGTGTGTCCTCCAGAGACTCTGTGTGTCCTCCAGAGACACTGTGTGAGACTCTGTGTGTCCTCCAGAGACACTGAGTGTCCTCCAGAGACACTGTGTGTCCTCCAGAGACACTGAGTGTCCTCCAGAGACACTGTGTGTCCTCCAGAGACTCTGTGTGTCCTCCAGAGACACTGAGTGTCCTCCAGAGACTCTGTGTGACACTGTGTGTCCTCCAGAGACACTGTGTGTCCTCCTACCCAGGGACGCGGGAAGTCACTCAGAGTTGGGAGAGAGGTCTAATAACCCATCATATTAAATGCGCATCATTTGTTTCCATTCATTAGAAAGGTCAACATTCAACAGACAGCATGTTGAACCAACCAGTGGACGCTCACAGGAAATGCCTCTAATCAGAAGACGATTCATTGTATGAGACGCAGCCGGGTAGCAATAACAGATCAGAGTTCACAGATCAAACACACAGCTTTCTAACCGGGACATTTTACACATTTTACACAATTGCACATGTTTGTGAATTCGGCTAGATCTGCTAGAAAAGAGCAACATATTTATTTAATTTATTTAAGTAGAACAACGAAGGTGGTCTTGCGCTCAGGGGTGGTGCAAATTAACTCCCTCATGAGAACGTGAACGTCCAGTGAGTCCAGAATGTCCTGCTGTACATGCAGTGAGGCCAGGTGAGAGAGTCTCTCTGGGTGACTGTGTTACCCAGTGAGGCCAGGTGAGAGAGTCTCTCTGGGTGACTGTGTTACCCAGTGAGGCCAGGTGAGAGAGTCTCTCTGGGTGACTGTGTTACCCAGTGAGGCCAGGTGAGAGAGTCTCTCTGGGTGACTGTGTTACACAGTGAGGCCAGGTGAGAGAGTCTCTCTGGGTGACTGTGTTACCCAGTGAGGCCAGGTGAGAGAGTCTCTCTGGGTGACTGTGTTACCCAGTGAGGCCAGGTGAGAGAGTCTCTCTGGGTGACTGTGTTACCCAGTGAGGCCAGGTGAGAGAGTCTCTCTGGGTGACTGTGTTACCCAGTGAGGCCAGGTGAGAGAGTCTCTCTGGGTGACTGTGTTACGCAGTGAGGCCAGGTGAGAGAGTCTCTCTGGGTGACTGTGTTACGCAGTGGAGGCCAGGTTGAGAGAGTCTCTCTGGTGGACTGTGTTACGCAGTGAGGCCAGGTGAGAGAGTCTCTCTGGGTGACTGTGTTACGCAGTGAGGCCAGGTGAGAGAGTCTCTCTGGTGACTGTGTTACGCAGTGAGGCCAGGTGAGAGAGTCTCTCTGGGTGACGTTGTTTTTTTTTTTGTTTTTCGGACAGTGAGGCCAGTGAGAGAGTCTCTCTTGGGTGACTGTGTTACGCAGTGAGGCCAGGTGAGAGAGTCTCTCTGGGTGACTGTGTTACGCAGTGAGGCCAGGTGAGAGAGTCTCTCTGGGTGAACTGTGTTACGCAGTGAGGGCCAGGTGAGAGAGTCTCTCTGGGTGACTGGGTTACGCAGTGAGGCCAGGTGAGAGAGTCTCTCTGGGTGACTGTGTTACGCAGTGAGGCCAGGGTGTGAGAGAGTCTCTCCTGGGTGACCTGTTGTGTTACGCAGTGAGGCCAGGTGAGAGAGTCTCTCTGGGTGACTGTGTTACGCAGTGAGGCCAGGTGAGAGAGTCTCTCTGGGTGACTGTGTTACGCAGTGAGGCCAGGTGAGAGAGTCTCTCTGGGTGACTGTGTTACGCAGTGAGGCCAGGTGAGAGAGTCTCTCTGGGTGACTGTGTTACCCAGTGAGACCAGGTGAGAGAGTCTCTCTGGGTGACTGTGTTACGCAGTGAGGCCAGGTGAGAGAGTCTCTCTGGGTACTGTGTTACACAGTGAGGCCAGGTGAGAGAGTCTCTCTGGGTGACTGTGTTACAGCAGTGAGGCCAGGTGAGAGAGTCTCTCTGGGTGACTGTGTTACACAGTGAGGCCAGGTGAGAGAGTCTCTCTGGGTGACTGTGTTACACAGTGAGGCCAGGTGAGAGAGTCTCTCTGGGTGACTGTGTTACGCAGTGAGGCCAGGTGAGAGAGTCTCTCTGGGTGACTGTGTTACACAGTGAGGCCAGGTGAGAGAGTCTCTCTGGGTGACTGTGTTACACAGTGAGGCCAGGTGAGAGAGTCTCTCTGGGTGACTGTGTTACGCAGTGAGGCCAGGTGAGAGAGTCTCTGGGTGACTGTGTTACACAGTGAGGCCAGGTGAGAGAGTCTCTCTGGGTGACTGTGTTACGCAGTGAGGCCAGGTGAGAGAGTCTCTGGGTGACTGTGTTATGCAGTGAGGCCAGGTGAGAGAGTCTCTCTGGTGACTGTGTTACACAGTGAGGCCAGGTGAGAGAGTCTCTCTGGGTGACTGTGTTACACAGTGAGGCCTTCCCCAACTCAGTATACGCCGTGAAGTGGTTTGCAGCCTGCCAGTAAACCCAAAGCAGAAGAAGAAGAAGTGACGTCAGCGGCTCATTTGACTAATCCTCCCTCAGGGACTTATTCCGGTGTGAACGCGATCTGTACTTAGTTCATGAGAACTAAAGAGTTCTCATGAACTAAAGAGTTCTGATGAACTAAAGAGTTCTCATGAACTAAAGAGTTCTGATGAACTAAAGAGTTTTCATGAACTAAAGAGTTCTGATGAACTAAAGAGTTCTCATGAACTAAAGAGTTCTGATGAACTAAAGAGTTCTCATGAACTAAAGAGTTCTGATGAACTAAAGAGTTCTCATGAACTAAAGAGTTCTGATGAACTAAAGAGTTCTCATGAACTAAAGAGTTCTGATGAACTAAAGAGTTCTCATGAACTAAAGAGTTCTGATTAACTAAAGAGTTTTCATGAACTAAAGAGTTCTGATGAACTAAAGAGTTCTCATGAACTAAAGAGTTCTGATGAACTAAAGAGTTCTCATGAACTAAAGAGTTCTGATGAACTAAAGAGTTCTCATGAACTAAAGAGTTCTGATGAACTAAAGAGTTCTCATGAACTAAAGAGTTCTGATTAACTAAAGAGTTCTCATGAACTAAATAGTTCTCATGAACTAAAGAGTTCTCATGAACTAAAGAGTTCTCATGAACTAAAGAGTTCTGATGAACTAAAGAGTTCTCATGAACTAAAGAGTTCTGATGAACTAAAGAGTTCTCATGAACTAAAGAGTTCTGATGAACTAAAGAGTTCTGATGAACTAAAGAGTTCTCATGAACTAAAGAGTTCTGATGAACTAAAGAGTTCTCATGAACTAAAGAGTTCTGATGAACTAAAGAGTTCTGATGAACTAAATAGTTCTCATGAACTAAAGAGTTCTGATGAACTAAAGAGTTCTCATGAACTAAAGAGTTCTGATGAACTAAAGAGTTCTCATGAACTAAAGAGTTCTGATGAACTAAAGAGTTCTCATGAACTAAAGAGTTCTGATGAACTAAAGAGTTCTGATGAACTAAAGAGTTCTGATGAACTAAAGAGTTCTGATTAACTAAAGAGTTCTGATGAACTAAAGAGTTCTCATGAACTAAAGAGTTCTGATGAACTAAAGAGTTCTCATGAACTAAAGAGTTCTGATGAACTAAAGAGTTCTCATGAACTAAAGTGGGAAAAGTACTGCGGTGTGAACACCTCTTGTTTCCTGCTTGCAGCTGGAGAGATCTCAGGTCTTCCTCTGTGCCAAATTTCCCCTTAGCAGCAGCAAGCAATGGTTCCTCCCTGCGGGAGGCACGTGCCTTGCCTCTAGTCAAAACGCTGCTTGATTTCTCTGC